ACCATGTCTTGTTTTTACTCAATAAACTCCAGTGGCTCCTTATTACCTTCAGGATCAGATAGAAAGTGCTCTATTTGGCACTTAAAGCCCTTTACAAGTTTACAATTTAAAGCCTTGGCTCCTTCTTCCCTTTCCATTCTTTATGTGAAGGGAATACTGGCTAACTTGCTGTTGCTCACATGACGTTGCATCTTTTGACTCTGTGCCTCTGTACTTGCTGTCTCTGATAGCTGGAATTCTGTCCCTCTTCAGTGCCATCTCTTAGTCTCCCTGGCTTCCTTTAACTTTCAGATCAAATTCCACCCTTTGTCAGAGGCCTTTCATGTTCTCCAGTGCTGCTGGTGCTTTCCACTCTAAGGCTACCTTCTATCTACTGACTGTATCTTGTAGATACTGATTTATATATGGCATTTCTTCCCTCCATCCCTTATAATATGTCTCTCATCACCTCACTCCTCCCCATCTTAGCTCCACCTGGCCCCTCCCTGACCTCATGACTTGATGCTGAGCTCTTTGAAAAAATGGAATATTTTTGCTTTTTCTCTGTGTCCACAGTGCCTGGCACATAGTAAGCATCCAATCTGATTAACTGACTCTCTGAGTGGACAGAACCAATATCCCCTTTGAGTATTAAGGCTCTAGTAGTTGAGTCCTATTTCCTATCCCATACCCAAACCAAATCCCCAAAGGGCCACAGGCCAGTGGACAGCTTTAATTTGTTTTATTATAATTACAATTATAATTACAATGTGCCCCACTGCCAAACCTACAAGTGACTCTATTCTGTCAACCTCTTACTTAGTTATTATAGTCAATATCAAAGAGCAGGCATTCCATTATGAATAACACTGGAGTCAAGAAAGTTTACAGGTTCTTTTATGATAGTTTTGAAAAGGGCACTCATCAAATCTGACACAAAACTGTCACTGTTACAAATTGACAACTGTTACAACTGTAAATCTAAGAGCTTTATTAAGGAAGTTGTGAACCTGGTACTGCTTACCAGAAATTATGTAGTTCAACTCTTGCTTTGTCAACTTTTGCTTCTAATTCAGTGGTTAGAAGGCATTAAAACTATCCAAATAAATTATAGACTTGAAACAAATGTTAATAAAACAACTAAGTTTCAACTCAGAGGTCTTCAACCTAGTGCAGAGGCAACTGTCACACAAGAATAAAGGGATATTGATCTGGAAAAGGTGAATGAACACAACTACAGTCTCAACATTCAAACTCTCACAGTCTCTGATAATGACTTGGACAGTCTCGTTTTCTTTATTTCAGAGAGATGTGAAAATAACAGAAAAAACATGAAATTCATTAGAGATGATATTCAATTTCTTTGAAGAAAGCTTCTTTATAAATTTAAGGCATTATTCTGTGAACAATAATAGGAAGGAATTAGTAAAACAAAATCAGTCAAGAAGCATTTATTAAACATCTACCATGTTCCAGGCACTGTGCCAGGCACTAGGGTTATGAATACAAAAGTGGAACAGTCCTTGCCATCAAGGATCTTACATTCTACTAAAGGGATAAAACAGTTTCACAGAGAAGTAAACACAGGATACATAAAAAATAAATTCACAATGATGGGTGGAGAGATGACACTAAAAACTGTGATAATCAGGAAAGACTTCTTGAAGGAAGTTAGCACTTGAGATGAGTCCTGAAAGGATGTAGGGGTTCCAAGAGGCAGATGAGGGTGAGCATTCCAAATGCAAGGGACAGCCTGGGCTCTCCTATGGGCTTTCCATAAGTGAGGGACGGAATTTTGTGTACTGGGAATAGCAAACAGGTTAGTTTGGCTAGAGTATAAAATGTGTGAGGGGGACCAAAGTGTATTCAGCATGGAAAACTAGGGGGAGCCTAATGGTGAATGTCTTCAAATGAGAAGTTTCTATTTTATCCTAAAGGCAATGGGCTCGACTAAAGCTTGCTGAGCAGAAGAATGGCATGGCCATATCTGTGCTTTAGGGATATCACTTTGGTAGCTGTGTGAAGGGTGGAGTGGAGATAGGCTGGATGCAGAGAGACCAATTTAGAGGCTACTACAATAGTTCAAATGAAGGGCCTGAACTAGAGTGGTTGGGATGTGAGGAGTGACACCAAAGACTTAAGAGATGTTGAGGAGATAGAAGTGCCATTGATGGGATATAGGCCAATGGGAGAGTAAAGAGTTGAGGATGACTTTTCCATTGTGAACCTGGATTACTGGAAGAATGGTGCTGCCCTCCACAGAGATAGAGAAATTAGGAGGGGTAGGTTTAGGGAGAAAGATAATGAGTTCTATTTTGAACGTGTGGGATTTGAGATGCATATGGGACATCAGGGAAATGAGGAAGTAGAGGCAACAAGTGTAGAAGCTGTCTTTTGAAGTTGGATTAGATAAGGAAGGAAGAACATGGGTTAATAGTCTGAGGAGATGGTAGGGTCAACTTAAAAGTTTTTAAAGATAAGGAGGATTTGGATATATTTGTAGGCACCAAGGAGATGCTAGTGGACAATTAGGGAGAAAATTAGGGAGAATGGGAAGGTGATAGAAGGAGCAAGCTTCTGGAAAGAGATAGGAGGGAATGAGATCAATGGACACATGGTACAAGTAAAAGGATTGGTGTTGGTAAGAAGGATCACTTCATTATCTGAGACAGAAGCAGAGAAGAAGAGGATGGGGAATGATGCTGAGGTGATCTGGTCTGGAACTGGGGAAGAAAGAAAACTAGACCCAACGTTCTCACTAGTCATCAGCAGAAGCCCTCTATGCTAGTCAGAATGATATCCTTACTGTCCCCTATATACATGTAACAATCAGTTGTTATTGTTCATAATGATTTTGCACAAAATAATCTTCATTTTTTACCATTGGAATGCCCTTCTACTTCTTTGACAAGTTAATTCTACACTTTTCCCTAAGATCTAGCACAAAAAAACCTCATGTTCTCCGGAAAGCCTCCCTTGACTAACCTTAAGTCTTTTACCTTTTTCCTTTGCCTTGAGTTCCCTTTAAGTATACATTTTTTTTTGGTCATGCTAGCATGATTTAATGAAAGATGGAGCATATAGTATAAAGAGGGCTGGAGTCAAGAGACCTGGGTTTAAATCTCGCTTCAGACACTTATCTGCTATTTGACCATGGACAAATCTTTTAATCTCTCAAAATTTTAGTTTCTTTATCTGCTAAAAATTGAGACAATACTTGAAGTTTGTACCTCATAGGGTTATTTATTTATTTGGCTAGGCAATGGGGTTAAGTGACTTGCCCAGGGTCATACAACTAGTGTCACGTGTCTGAGGCTGGATTTGAACTCAGGTCCTCCTGACTCTAGGAACGCTGCTCTATCCACTTCACCACCTAACTGCTCCTACCTCGTAGGGTTATTGAAAGAAAAGCACTTTTCAAACTTTCCAGTCCTATAAAATTAGGGTCTAGCATGCAACTTGTTGAAAACTGTTTCTTTCAGGCTTTTTGGCTCCCTGACTGTAAGCTCCTTGAGAGTAAGGACAATATCTTTACCTTCACTTACCTTGTATAATTTGTAATACACTGCTAGACATACAAGGCACTTGCTGAATTATACTGTTTCATAACTTAGATCCAATCAGTTTATTTATATCTCCCCCAAGGACAACCTACAACATGTTTACTAGTATGCCTTTACCAATTTAAAATTTAACATTGTTTTTTATTCAATAAGCTAACTTAGAAACTAATCAGTAATATTCTTGAGGTTATGTCTAATGCCCCCATGTAACATTTAAGCTGGCTGCTACAGGCAATGGGTGTAAAATGTTAAATAATTTAAACTTTTATTTTTAAGAGAGTTCCTGAACTTTCAAACCTTGAAGAGTAAGTATATGGTCCCAAACACTTAAGGGGATCTGCAATTTCACATATTTGGGCGCAGACTGCAACCCATCCATGCTTGCCTATTCCTTGTTACTCTTGTCCAAGTCCATCCATGAGTTTTTACAAGGAATTCATTCAATGGGCTACTAGCCTTCCTTGATTTTGCCTATTAAGAGGATTTTTTAAATAAGAGGGAAGAGGAAACTCCCTTGCTAAAGAACCATTATATTAAGAATATGAACCAAAGGATCTACATTTCTAAAATTTTATAACCATGATTATAAATGCTTGAATAAAGACTTAGAATTGGTTGCCCTGAAGGTTAAAACCATACATCTACATAGTAAACCGCTAAGTGAAAAGTGATGCCTTCATAAATTTTACTTTTTGGACGCTAAGTGGAAATCAATCTGTATCTACGGATTATTTGAGTTTTGCTTTTACTGAAAAGCGAAGAACAGCATCCCATTTGTGGTCCATTGTGTTTTACCCATCTGTCCATCACTGAGGCTCAGAAAACTTTATAACTAAAGTTACTGAGACCTTGAAACAATTTTTAAAAATGGTCAAAATCCTTCCTCTAAAGCAAAAGAAGCAGCTCACTCTGGAGTAAACAAAGCCAGCTTCTGGGCCTGCCTTCCAGGAGCCAGTCCCAGACAATAGGAAGTGGCAGGCAATAGTGGTAGGTCTAGGGTTGGCTCAGTAGGGGTGGGAGGGAGCCAGTAACTGTTAAACGAACTGCAAGAAGACAAGACAGGTGGAGTCAGAGCCCTTGGTGGGCCAAAGCTAAGACTTGGGGGCAGATTTCCCGGAGGAGGGCGGGTGGGATGGGGGAAAACTCAGGCATCCTAGGGGCGGGGGAAGGGAGGGTGGAAACAGCTGTCGAGCAATCCTAGAGGGCAAACACAACTGGTTGTTTTTCTCAGAACCAGGCCAGTGCCTCTGGCTCAAGTCGCCCGGTAAATATTCAACAGCAGCTGTTGATCCAGGCAGTGGAGGTGAAAAGGAGGGATGGGTGGCAGGGACCGGGGTTCCCCGAGGGTGATGACGGGACCACAAATCGATGCCAAGCTAGGGAGGAAAGGACGGAGGGAGAGGAGGAGGCGGCGAGCGGCTGGTCCCGGGGGCCGCGGGGAGGGGAGCCCGGGCTTACCTTGAGCAGGCAGCTGTTGGCCGGGGCGGGCACCGAAGTGCGGTGGATGACCAGGTCCTGGCCCGGGCTGTGCACGTCGCAGATGAGTTCCAGCACCGCGATGCTGCGGGCGGTGGAGACCGACACCCGGTGGTCCTCGGACCAGGAGAGCGGCTCCAGGCCGCTGACGGGGTGCTGCAGCTTCACGGCCGGCTCCCGCCGCGCCGCCACCAGCCCGAAGCCGGCGCTGGGCCCCGGCGCCCCGGCTGCCCCAGGAACCGCCGGCGGCGGCTCCTTCTCCCTCTTCTTCCCTTCTCCTTCCTCTTCCTCCTCTTCCTCCTCCTCCTCCTCCTCTTGCGGCTCAGCCTCATCCGCCGCGGACATCACCCGGGGCTCGTCGGACCCCGACATCTTCCCTGGAGCGGTAAGGCCCGAGCCCGGGACGCGCTAACTCCCGCCGTAGTCGCCGCTACGGCCGCCGCCGCCGCCGCCGCCGCAGCCGCCCCCTCTGCCCTCTCTCCCCCCTCCTCTTCCCGGCTCCCCGCGGCCCGGAGCGCCGCCGAGCCAGGGAGGACCCCGCCGTTGCCTAGCAACCAAACCCGGGCCTAGGCGACTAACGCACTGCCTGCCTAGAATGTGTCTCCTTTCTTTCGAACTACCGCAGGCCAAGCATCGGGGATGGTTTGTGTTAGGAGTTGGAGGGGGAGGGGAAGGGGAATAGAAGAGGGTCAAGGCTCCCGGCGCATCCCTACAAAGATCAGATGGAATGGCAAGTAGTAGCCCAGAGGCGGAAAATGTGGATAAATAGTAGTAGTCCCTCCCTCCTCTTTCACCTGGGGATTACTCCTTTAGCCAAGGGTGAAAGCTGCGAGTGACCCAAGCGTCTCGTTTACTAAAAGTGCAGATCACTGTGTGGGGAGGGATGCCACTCATTCTTTGGCACCTCTGATCCTTTGGAGGAAACTAGTCATGATCCTTCAGACTCTGAAGAGAGCCAATTCCCTGGCCTTTCTCCTGTCCCTGGGTCGTAGGAATGCAGGGTATTTTACACACATCACCTCTTATATGGAGTCATTTTTATTTCCTCTCCTCTTCTTTGGTGGGGAGGACTCTGTGTGTGTGTGTTTTTGTAAACCATCCCCTTTCAACCCTAGGCAAGAAGGAAGGATGAGAAACTCCTGCCATACCACAAATAGACATCAGAAATGGCAGAAAGCTTTAGGCATCCCTAAACTACCCCTTCCCCCCGCAAATGGAGCGGGCTTATAGCATACGGCTTGTAACATTAAGCAAGGCTAAGTTCCTACCCTGAGCTAAAATACACAACATGCTCGCTCTTCGATATGTTATTCTCTCTATTATATGTTTTTCACAGGCATACATGCTTGGAGACACTCAGACGCATTTAAATTTACTTGTTGTTTGTTTGTTTAGTTCTATTTCTTAAGGAAAGTTTCTAGAGCAAAGAAAAGGAAGGAGAGAAGAGTGACAGCCAAGGTATCTCAGTGACTTAAGTACTAAGGGGAGTATTGGAGGCAGCTATGCCGGGGTCCTTCCTCGTCATTCAGGACTTCACTCACTCACTGACATGTGGACTGGAGTAGTACTGAAACTGACTACTATCAAGTTACATTCTGGAGCAGCTGAGCTGGATTTTCTTTGCGATTTAGATCTACAGGCCCTTTCTTCCCCATAGCCCGCCCACTCTGCCCTGGACAAGCTATGGCAGCAGATGAAGGTTTACTTCTCAATATTTCAGAGGACTGGACCTTCCCAGGCTTTCACCAAGAGCACAAGAAATTCCCCAGATCCTTTGGAGCCAAGGAGAGAAGGGTAAGGCTCTGTTCTGAATCGCTGAGGTTGTGTTTGTTTGTGATACCAAGAAATATTCATTCTGTCTGTATTGATTAGGATTAATCTGAAACATGCTTGACTCTTGGGTGCCCATGTCTCTGTCTCTGTCTCTGTCTCTCTCTCTCTCTCTCTCTCTCTCCCCCCCCCCAGGCTGCCCACACCTCCCTTGGTTTGTTTGTTTTTCATCAGGGTAGTACGGTGGAAAGAACTCTGCTTGTGGAGTTAAAGGGACGGATTTGCTCCTAAAGCTCACAAACTTGGTGACCTTAGGCACTTTAAGCAACTCAGTTAACTTCCCTAAGACTCAGTTTCCTCATATCTAAAATGAGATGTTTGGATTACATAGTCTCTGAGGTCCCTTCAAGCTCTAGATTTATTACTATTGTAGAAGTTACCTTAGTTCTGTTATCCAAAAAAAAAAAAATAGATTTCAGACAGGGTCTCAGCTGCCTATGTATAAAACCAAACGTTAGTTTAAAAGGTTGTAAAATGATGGAATGTAGGGGTTGGAAGGAAATCTTAACCTTCTCATCTGGTTTCTTCCACATGCAGATGAGGAAACTGAGGATCTTTGAGGGGAAAGAACTCACCCAAAGTCACAGTGTGAGTTAGTGATAGAGTCAAAACTGTCTTTTGCCACCTGAGACTATTTCTCTGTACTGACGTTTAGGAACTTTAGTTATATCAAAGCATTGGCCTTGGATTATATGCAAAATAGCTTGAGATTGATTAGTCCAGACCTTTCATTTTGTAGATGGGGAACCATAGGCCAAAAGAGGGGATGTGACTTGACTAAGGTCACACAGTAATAAGTGGGAAGAGTAAGGACTTGAACCCATTTCTGAATCAAATACACAGTTCTTCCTCCTCTCCATCACTTTTGTGTAGGTAAGGTAGACAGAGCTTCAAAGCTGAAATCTTTCTATTCTGCTTCTGATCTCCAGTTTGCTTTTGTGTAATTTTGAAACCACTTCTGCCCCTATTTCTCCATTAGTGAAAAGGGAGTGATCTTGTTTTATAGATTATCCACTTGTTTTGTAGATTATCCACTTCTAGTGTGGCCTCCCTTCCTGGATTCATTCTAAATGTGCTTCTGGGTGTGGCCAATTAGTCAACAAATAAGTATTAGTGCCTACTTTGTGCCTGACTTTTGTTCTAAGTACTGGGATGCAAATATTTGAGAAATGCATGAAGTACTGAGTACCGTTAGAGATAACAGAAGATTGTCCATTTGAAAGATACTATAGTGGCAAAGTGTTGACAATTTAAAGAACATTCATTGTCTTTGGTGATTAAGTGAGCAAAGTATTTTTATGTGCCATCTTAAGAATTCTAAACACTTTAAGGCATCTAAGAGGTACTTAACCACCCTGGCCTCAGCTTCCTCACTTAAAAAATGAGGTTGGGACTAAATTTTCAAAATCCCTTTTAGCGCTGAGAGTCTACAATTCTAATAGGTAGGTAATTGAGGGGAATGCTGAAGATATAATAAATCTTGATTTTAGCAAAGTATTTGAGAGAGCATCCCATAATAAAGTTGATAAAAATAAGATAGTAAAATATGTCCTGGATTATGCTGATGATTATTGCTCATATTTACATAGCATTTTACAAAGTGCTTTCCTCATTCTATGCATACTATACATACTATGTATGGTCAGTACTTTTTTTTTTTAAGGCAATTGGGGTTAAGTGACTTGCCCAGGGTCACACAGCTAGTAAGTGTCAAGTGTTTGGTCTGAGGCCAAATTTGAACTCAGGTCCTTCTGACTTCAGGGTCGGTGCTCTTTCCACTGCACCAACTAGCTGCCCCTGTCAGTACTTTTTTGACCCCTGAGTTGTTAGTTCTCTCCCTTTCCCCAAATAATCACATATATACTGTATCTATTAAATCTTCCCTGGTAGGATGTGAACCCCTTGAAGGAAGGGACTATTTTTTGTTTTGTCTTTTATTACCAGTACCTAGCACATTGTCTGACTCATAGTTGGTGCTTATTAAATGCTTGTTGAACTATATTGGCAATAGAAGACCTGGGTTCTAATCCAAATTCTACCGGTAGCTCACTTTGTGACATTGGGCAAGTGTCACTTTTCTTGTGTTGGTCTCAGTTTTTTCATTCATAAAGTAAGAGGATTGGACAAGATTATCTCTAAGGTCCCTTACAGCTCTAACAATCTGTATTTCTCTGACCTCATTTTAAAGCTTGTTTTGTGTGGTTTTGTAAGTGGGCCTCTGAGATACACACCTAACATTTATAATCAATTTAAGGTTTGCAAAGTGCTTTACATATGTTACCTCATTTGACTCTTAGAATAACACTGTGAGTTGGGTGCTATTATCATTCTTATTTTACAGGTGAGGAAACTGAGACTGAGAGGTTAAGTGTCTTGCCCAGGGCATACAATAGTAAGTGATTGAATCAGAATTTGAAATCAAATCCAGCAAATCATACTACCTAGTTGTCTCAGATGGTTACCTATATATCACACTTTAATGTCTGCAAATCACTTTATATAAATTGTCTCACTTGATCTTCACAGTAAACACAGTGTGAGGAAGGTACTGATTTATTCCCATTTTATAGATGAAGAAACTGAGGCAATAAGGTTACCTTATAAAACAAAAAGTCTGTTAGGTAGGTAATGCAAGTATTCATTCATTCATTCATTCACTCAGGAAGCATTTATTAAATGTGTATGTTGTACCTGGTAGTGGAGATACAAAGACAGAAATAAAAACTGCCCCTTTCTTCAAGGAACTTAAATTCCACTGAAGGGAGGCAGAAAATATTATGCATATAGATAAATACAGAGTATGTACGAAATAAATCAAAAGTAACGTGGTAGAAGGCCCCTGATGACTGAGGGGGATGAGAGATCAGGAAAAGCCTCTTCTAGACAGTAGCAATTGAGCTTTGCTAGAGATTAAACAAAATGATGTCTTTTGTTTTTATATCACCATCATTTCCAAATATACACCTTTCCCCAGAGAGGCATCCCTTGTAACAAAGAACAAAAAGAGAGAGGGAGGAAAAAAGTAGTGAGGCAAAACTCACTACTATCAGCTGAATCTGACAGAGTAGGAGGGTTCCACACCATCATCCTCCACACCACAAAGAAGGGAGGAAGATGCTTGTTCTCTTTTCTTTAGGGCCAAACTTGATCATTGTAATTATACAAGTGTTCTGATTGATTGATGTAGTTCCCTTTTGGACATGTTGAATTTAAGATGTCTCTGGACAGCCAGTTTGAGATGTCTGAAGGACAGTTGGAAATGCAAGATTGGAGCTCAGCAGAGAGGTAGGGGCAGGATAGGTAGATCTGAAAATGGTAATCATAGAGCTGGTAATTAAATCCATAGGAGCTGATGAGATCCCCAAGTGAAGTAGTATAGAGGGAGAAGAGAATAGGGAGAGAAACCATATACAGGAAGACCAATTTCACTAAGAGGTAATAAGGGCATGAATTAGGCTGGTGTCATGTGAGTAGAGAGGAGGGGCTGAATTGGAGAGACGTCTTTGAGGCAAAATGGATCAAACTTGACAACTAATTAGCTATTGTAGGATCTGGGAGAATAAAAAGTAGAGGATGATTCCAAGTTTGTAAACCTGGGTATCTTGAAGGATGGTGATATCCTCAGCAAAAAATAGGGAAGTTTGGAAAGAGGAGTGGGTTTAGGGGTAAAAATAATGAAGTCTGTTTGGAGCATATTGAATGTGAGATACCTGCAGTACATCTCATGATGGAACTCTGGAGCTCCAGGCCACTGAACCAGGATAGATATTGGAGTTGGCATTGAAGATCTGGGACTCATCTGCATAGGGATGATAACTGAATCCAGGAGAACTGACGATATCCCTGATAGAGGGTGTACAGAGAGAAAAGATGAAAACCCAGAACAGAGCCTAGGGCAAGCATGAGCTGGTAAAGATAGCCGTTGTTGATTATCATTTGCAAAAGGTTGTTTGTTTCCTGATGCTGTTACCAAGAATGCCTTCGATTTATGCAGATGACCCTCATAAAGATTTTGTACAAATGGGAAACTAAGCATAAGGTTAGTAGCTGATTTTTTTGGGGGGGTCACTTTCTTTTGGAATCAGTTGGGTTCAAGGCCCAAATTTTATTATATGATATGATATTATGTTGCATTATATTATGCATATATTATATGCTAAGCTATTCTGTCTGCTTTTCTTGCCTTTGTTCTCTTTAGTGCTGTTTTGTCTTCCTCTGTGAACATCTCAGGGACTGTGAATTTAGGGATCCAAGTTTGGTGGTCTGCTTATCCTTGATGGAGAAAATAGATTACTATAAGAATTTTTGCAGGTGTTTTCCATTTTTCTTTGGTTTGTAGTGCTTTTCCATATCCATTCCTGAATGTTCTTGGGATGACTGCTTAGTTAGACAAGCTTTTTTTAGACTGGTTTTATCTTCTATAGTTCTGTCTCCTGAGATGGTATTGGTCATAATCATCCTTCATTCTATTAAACATTTTTACTTTTATTTTTTTTCAATTAACAAATATTTATTTTTCTTCTCTTCCACTACTACCCCCCATGGGAAAAAAAAATAAAAAGAAAATCCTTGAAACAAATATTAATATGCAAGCAAAATAAATTCCTACATTGGCTGTATCCAATGATGTGTGTGTTATTTTACATCTTGAGTCAGTCCATCATTCTCTGGGAGAGGGGTGTATGGACTCATCATTAGTCCTCTGGAATCTTGGTTTGTCTGCATTAATCAGAACTCTTAAGTCTTTCAAAGTTTTTTTTTCCTTTACAATATTGTTATTGTTAGTAAATTATTCTCCTGGTTCTGTTCACTTTACTCTGTATACAAGTCTTTCCAGCTTTCTCTGAAACTAAGTCTTTTGTAATTTCTTGTGTTACAATAGTATTCCATTATATTCAAACACCGTAATTTATTCATTGATGAATATCTACTTAGTTTCCAGTTCTTTGTCACCTCCAAAAGAG